TTGCTCAGTTTGTACGTCTCACCTAGGCGGTGCAGGTGAAGCCTAACTGTTTCATCGGAAACGTTGAACTGTCTTGCAAGTTCACCACGCGTTAGACTACTGTCCTCTTCAATGGCCACCTTCAGGACTCCGTCATTCAAGACCTGTGGTCGTCCACTGCGATGCTCATCATGAAGAGACAAATCTGCCGACTTGAATTTTCGAAACCAACGCCTTGCAGTACGTTCATCCACAGCACTATCCCCAAACGCTTGGCATATGCGGCGACTCTATGCAGCTGCTGATAAGCCCACTTTGAAGTTGTAAAGCAAACAACCCCGAACGAGATCTCTAGACACTTCCATCCTTCTCAGAGCTGTCCGGCTTATAACTGATGGCCGGGAACGGTGCGCGTGTTTTTTATAACGTCTGATCTTCCTACTTCCGGCTGTCCGAATTTGAAAACAATTGCTACACGCATTTCGTATATATTTCAACTTCATTCAATGACTAATCAAAAAACGGACAGATTTTTTTTGGTTACCTTGTACATTGGGTCTCTCATTTCCACTTTGTTGTACGTCTGTTTAGGTTTAAACTGATTCGGTGTCTGGCTCTCCACCAGACGTATACAATCGATGAGGATACGATCAATAGAGTTCCGCTATCGGAACAAGGCATCCTTTAGAGTCAGGGCAGGGAAGACAGTTCCTAATGGATGAAAAACAAAGAAAGTCTCTATTAATATAGTCATATGCTTGTGAGATCAACATAACGAGTATAGAATTTTCTATTCTATAAGTATGCAATCTTCTGATGTTGTTTGATGACGTATATGATTGAATATCATTGGATCTCATAACAAGACGAAAGCTAAATTGGTTTCTTAGAAGTTAACTTTCATGGAATCTTGAGAATGGCACTAGTAAAATATCCATTACTATTTTCACAATAATGATAAAAATAGTAATGTATATTCAATAATAATTAGATAGTAATGAATATTTAAGGAATAATAGTATTTAAAAATTCTTTTATAAAATCCAAAGAAGAATCTGCAATGTTATTGACCCTGACCTGTCACCTCGGATTCAGTTACTTTTACGCCACCGTAACGTAGCTTACTTAAGCTATAACTAAAGTTCTGATGATTTTTTTTTCTGATGAACTTTCTGCTATGATACCTAGACTTTATGAATTTAAGCTTAGTACTAGATTGGCGATAATCATTTTACAGTTGAAATGGCTAGATGTAGCTGCAAGTTCTATGTTAACAGTTTCTTCCCTCACACTTTCAACTCTCTTCCGTCATCTTGCTTCCCATTCAATTTTGATCTTCAAAGATTTAAATTCATTTCTAATCGTCATGTTGTGTATTCTTAAATCCTATTCTTTTATTGTTGACTCTGCTTACTAGTGAATATATTTCCTACTCAGTAATCCATTGCATCTTGGTGGCTTTATTCCCTTGAAAGGGTGAAATGATTTACAAAAATTGATTAAATTGAAAAATCTTGAGAATCTTCTGGACAACCTGTTCGTTTCCAAAGTGCATTCATGCGTGGTACCTAACACCTGCTTAGGAGATCCTGATTAAAGAATCCCAAAAGGACCCGAATATGTTGAATATGATTGAAATCAAAAGATCAGTTAGGGATCTGAAAATCGCTTACATTGTTTAACATTGTGTAAAACACATCTTTTCAAAAAGAAAGTTCATGCCTCCAATCGGATAAATTTTAGCCTCAACGCTCACAACCTTATAAGTTTTACCACATGCTATCCCTTCTATCTACACCGACTCCATGACATCATTTACTCCCAAAACCTCATTATGAATAGAATTGTTACGATTAATGCACAAAGAAACATTTGTGATGTTTGCGGAGCCAACCAATCCACCATACCACACGCTACTATTATTAATTAACTGGTTTTGTTTGGCTGCTTTTGTTTAGCGGAATATCAACCTCGATGGCCAAATTGACAAAAACATGAAGGAGCAAAATCAGCTTACAAACAAAGTAGAGACTGTATAAATCACTCGTAGTTTCCATTTTCCTATATGGAAGTGAAACGCGGACATTGTTGGCAGATAAAGAGAGAAGGATACAAGCGTTTCAGAAAAATGCATGAGAAAACTCCTTGGCATTTTCTTTTGGAAACAAAGAAAACAATGAGTTCGTGCGGAAAAGGCTTGAACATTTTGTGGGACGCCAGGAACCTCTTCTCGCTACTGTCAAACGGAGAAAAATGGTGTGATTTGGACGCATTACAAAGCCGTTCAAGCTGGGCAAGACCATCAGTCAAGGCACTGTTGTAAGAGAGTACGCCAACGGACAGGTATGACAGGATTGCTGATGGCAGCATTTGATAGACCGTAGTGGAAAAGAGCGTGGCTTCTGCATTTGGATCCGCCCTATTATTACGAAAATGAAGGAAATGATGACAACGACAACGACGACGACGATGATGATTATGACGATGATGACGATGATGATGATGATATCAACCTCTATGAGTTATTTAATGCCGAAATCTAAATATTTTGAACTCAATTTTATGCCTGATATTTTTAAATAATTTAATACTTTCAACGTAAATGCATCTTGTAGATGATCTATTGTAGGTGTTATATGTTTTGATATAAATCTATTTCTTTAAGATTTCTTTAAGACATTATGTCGGCGGTTTCAGTATTTTTAAATCATTTCCTCATGTTACTTTCCTTGTAATATGTATATCTTACAGGGGTTAAATGAGTACATTCAGTTAAAGTCTGTCTCGCCGTGACTGTAGCTTGATATGTTGTACTTGCTGATTGATCTTTATTCTGCATCAAGTATGAATGATTGAGGTATGTGTGGCCTATGTTTAGTCGGCCCAACGTTACCTCGTTTTATTCTTCCTTTACTAGACATTTGTTTCCATTTAACCAGGATTTGTTTTATTGTAATATTATTATTTGCGTTTTTCGTTAAGTGCCTTTGCTATTTCTGTTGAATTGAGTTGCTTATTTTACTTTTCAGGCCCGTAAAAATGATCTTGAAATTATTATCTAGAGTTTCTTTTTCGAGTAGATTTTGAAGCTTGAATCTACTTGGTCACTTCCTCCAATTCCTATGTGGTGTGGGATCCAGCATAGCCCAATTTCTTGACTTTGGGATAATAATTTGGCCTTATTTTGGGAAAATACAATGTGGAAGCGATTGACCATTTTTAGAAGAAGAGATTTGGAAGACATTGAACCATCCTTTGGAAGAAGAAAATATGGAAGCGGTTGACCATTTTTGGAAGAAAAGATATGGGAAGGATTGACCATCTTTTGGAAGAAGACAATATGGAAGCGGTTGACCATTTTTGGAAGAAAAGATATGGGAGGGATTGACCATCTTTTGGAAGAAGACAATATGGAATGTATTGAATATTTTTGGAAGGAGAGATATGGATGTTATTATTTTATTGTGAGAAACTTATTATTTGCATTTTGAGTTCAATGCATTTGCCATTTCTGTTGAATTGAGTTGTTTATTTTACTTTTCAGGTCCGTATGAATGGTCTTGAAATTATTATCTGGGGTTTTATTTTCGGACAGACTTTGCAATTTGAATCTACTTGCTCATTTCTTCGAATTCCTATGTAGCTTGGGACCCAGCATAACCGTATTTCTTTATTTTGGGATAATGAATCCATCCTGCATTGTAATTTCATAAGCAGTAAGTTGTCAAGATGTTTGGAATTTTTATTGCTGTTATAATTGATGGGGAGTCAAAGAATAATGCTTGCTTCTAGCGATGAAGTCATGTGCTAGTTCTATTGAACAAATCTCATCATTGAAAATTAATGTTTCTTTTGTTAGATATCTTTTTATTTATTTATTATACACTGCTGCACCTCTTGTTCCATTTTTTGTATTTTGATCCATACGTGATGATGTACGAGTTTCTGTGATAATTGATTTTGAATTCCTCTAATTCATCCTGGAATGTAAGTGAATGTGTACTTGTTTTGTGATGTTTGCAAAGAGTTTAGATTTATTTTGGGTATTTTTATGATCCAGCGTGTTATATTTGGTATGATTGTATTATTAAATCTAGATAGATGTATTTCTGTTTCTTTCATAATGGAAAACGGGAAGAAGAGATGGATGATCTTTGAGTAGAAGATAATATCGAAGTGTTTGACCATCTTTTGGAAGAAAACAATATGAAAGGGATTGACCATCTTTTGGGAGAAGAGAATACGGAAGGATTTGACCATCTTTTGGAAGAAGAGAATTTGGAAGGGATTGACTATTTTTAGAGGAAGAGATAAGGAGAATGACCATGTTTTGGAAGAAGACAATATAGAAGTTATTGACCTTTTTATGAAGAAGTCAATATGGAAGAGGTTGGCCATCTTTCGTGGGAAGACAATATGGAAGCCATTGACCGTATTTGAAAGAAGAGATATGGAAGAGATTGGACATCATTTGGAAGAAGACAATATGGAAGCGATTGACCTTTTTTGGAAGAAAAGATAGAGAAATGATTGACCATATTTGGTAGAAGACAATATGGAACGGGTTGACCATTTTTGGAAGAAGACAACAGAATACCGTCATGATGCGATCTAAAAATTGATTCGTTAAAATCAAACACGTACAGAAGTTTAAATATCTGGTGAGAGTTTAAACAGATACAACCGAACATCTTTTAACCCAAATTCAAAGGTGCATTGAAATAATATCAATAGTAATGTATGGCTGTGAATGGTGGACAATCACCTCAAAGATGGAGGTTGATTTATTGATTGATTCGTTTTCTAAGAGTTATCAACCCTTTGCAGGTTATTTAAACCCATAAAATATTTTTAGATTGTAAGAATTTTTTTTCATACAATAATGATTTAGTGATAAAAGTCTTACTAATTAACCCATAGCTAGGGAGAGAAGAGGTAAATCCAACGCAAAGAAGAATACGGCTTTCCGATTAACAATCCCAAGCCATTATCCATTTCAACAGAAGTACATTCAAGCTTAGAGTACCTAGTATTCCGAAGCACTCACCCATCTAGGTACTCTCCAAGCTCAACGTTGCTTAACTTCGGTGATTGTACGGGAACCGGCGTGTAAACGGGGTGTGGCCGTAAGTCGAGAGATGAAAAGAAGCCTTGAGGCAATAGAGATGAGGCTCAGCAAGTGGATGTTGAAATTACTGTGGACGGGGCATGTAGACAACGAGGAAGTATTTTTAGGAAAATGAAAATAAAAGGGACTCTTAGAATCAGAAAAAGACAGTTGAAATTTCTAAGACATATCATGAGGAAGGAAGCCTTGGAAAATTTAACACTCACAGGACGTACTGAAAGTATATTGCTGCCATATATGGTCTGGTGCCCCTTCTGTTTGGCTCGGGGTTCTTGATAGGCTCCAGAGGCGGATATGCAATATAATTGGCGCTACACTGGCATCTCGTCTACAGTCACACTCTCACAGACGCGCCGTCGCCTCTCTCTGTCTGTTCTACAAATACTTTCATGGCAATTGCTCCGAGGAGCTGCATTCGCTGGTTCCCAGACTTCATGAGTTCAAGCGCCCTACGAGGCTGGCATCCCGCTCTCACCCCTTCACTGTCGAAACTCTTAAATGTAGCCGTCTCTTCTACTCTAATAGCTTCATGGCTCGCACCTCTCGCCTGTGGAACTCCCTTCCCTATTCCAGTTTCCGTAAGAGCTATAATCTCCTGCTATTCAAATGTAATGTCAATGGACATCTCCAGTTGCCTTGATCTATCCACTATCCTTCTCCCCATCCTTTCTTCTATCACTCCTATCTGATCTCGCTCTATATTTTCTGTAACCCCTTGCGTCCTAGTGGCTTCCCGCCTTGCTTGGGATGAAAGGCTTAAAATATATTTTAAAAACAGCGAATAACCTACTTACTGGATGGCTGAACAGAGCTTGGAAAAGTTAATAAATAGAAAATCATTGTTTGGAGCTACAAAGAATAAAAAGTTGCGGAGAGCCATGATCACATCTGTTCTGAAAGTGTATGGAACATAAAAGAAAAATGTTTTTTTGCTATAACTAACTTGTTTTGTAATGTTTTATGTAAGTGTTAAGCAGTACATGCTTCAGTCAGCTAATTGTCATAAGGGATATATGCTAGAGCGATAATGTTTCTTTAGATATATAACTAACTAGGCAAAAGATTTTCCCGCAGTAATTTGCCGTCGCTTTCTGTAATCAACTTGTTGTCAGTTATGGCTATATAACCCCGTCTGTACTACTATTCAGCCCATACTTGTGAGAGAAGAGACGGATTCATAGCTTCCCTAGGGTTATTTGCTCGTAAGCGAATGAACCCGACTGGAATTCGAACACGGTTCTCATTCAGGGCCGATATCCATTACACCGCAACGCACCTGCCTAGTAATTTATATACTCTGAATTTTTTTTTTTTAATATGCCCTGCTGAAATGGGGTGCGTCCAGTGGTGGTAGCCAACCGTTCTGCGCGAACCGATTCATAAAATCATAACAGCATAGCGAATCGTTTGTTGGATTATCCAACAATATATAATCGCTAAAAATATAATTAATACGATTACTGTAAGTTCTGCGCAGGCTGAAATAGGGTTTTCTCTAAACATAATTTATATGTATGTATATATGTATGTAGGCGTATATGTGTACGTGTACGTGTACGTGTGTGTGTGTACTTATAACAATCTCGATTAGTATTACGAGATGCTACACAACAGAGAATTTAACATGCGTAAGGGATTATTCAGAAGAAAAATATTTTGATAAAAAGTTGGTTCTTATGCGTCAAATATTCTGTTACATACTGGTAGTTTGCTTTAAGGCTACAAATTGCATCATGCATTAGACACACATCACATTATACTAACCTCTATAATAATACAATATATGTTTGTGTGTAAATAAACGTATTTTTTCAGCAAATAACTCCCAAAAACTAACGAATGAAATACTTACTGAACAATATATCTTAATTGATATTGCACAGGAAATCCAGAAATTTAGAATACACACATTATAACCGAAGCTTTAAGTGAAAATCACCATGATTGATAGTGGGTTGCAGGCAGTTCAAACAAGATTTTTGACTAAATAGTCCCCGCAACCAAACTGATTAAATTTTGAGAAATGTGAACATGAGACCTAACACCAATTCTCTGCACAACGTTTCTTTTCCCAGATGTTTTTTTTTTCTCTATTGAATGATGACAAAGGCGAAGACGTGTCTGGATATTTGGCCGCCATATTCCATGCGATTAAATTACTACATTAAATTATTCTTTGTCTGATTTCAACGTTAGTCGCCTTGCAACATAAATTCTGTTGACTTCTGTTTCACATCTAAAGAAAACACATTTCTGAAGTTGATCTTAAGAAAACACAATAAATTTCTTCCATTTTTCTCTCATATTAAAAAAAGTGGGCAATCATAGTGTTCACATTATTTACATTATTCAGAATATTGTCCTCATCTTTGTCGCCATATTTATTACAACGTTTCGGCCGTTGTACGCTCCGGCCTTCTTCAGGTGGTTGGAATATCGAACTGAACCCTTTATTTCGCTCACTGGGGTGTACTGTTCTAGTTCCACGTGCCATGTCTCAGTTATCAGTTATCTCCTGTTAATTCCCCTCTCCAAGTTATCCACTGCCTTAACAGATAATAAGGAAAGAACCATTGTTATCAGTCATCAAGGGATATGTTTCATTGTTTTTTAATATCAGATAAACATACGGATATTTAGAAATTTAAGCACAGACTTAAAAGAAGAACTTAACCGTTATTGAACTCAGTCTTTGGGTTCTGTCACTTGATCTAACTAACGCCTTTATCCACTGTGCCATGTGTCCTTGAGGACATCTGTGTCTCAATTTCTGCGTATTATAAACCTAATGTCTTCAGCAAACATTTTTTACCAGTGTTCATGTTGCAATTTTTGCTGTTATCATTATTTATTATTTTTTTTGTTATGGTGGCATATTTTTACAAAATATTTGCAATTTTTGTTGTCATTATAGCTTTTCTCTGGCACTCATTAATACTGGTTCCCATATTGTATTCATTTCTATGCTTGGTCGGCTCAGGAGATTTTTGTGGCCTAGCATATGTGCTGACTTCTTAAGTTTACGAATTGCAATATGAGATCTGGTAAAAACATGGAATGATAACAGCAAAAATTGCAATATGAAGACTGTTAAAATAACTGGTTGCTGAAGACATTAGGTTTATAATACCCAGAAATTCATACACAGATGTCCTTAAGGACACATAGCACAGTGGATAAAGACCTTTAGTAGATCAAGTGACAGGACCCAAAAAGTGTGAGTTCAATACCCGGCTAAGGTAGTGGAGAACTTTCAGAGGGAAATTAACAGGAGATAAGTGATAACTTATAACAAGTGGAACTAGAACAGTCTACCACAGTGAGCGAAATAAACGATTCAGTTCGACATTCCAACCACCTGAGGAAGGCCGTAGCGTACAACGGCCGAAGCGTTGTAAATATTGCGACAAAGACGAGGACAATATTCCGAAAAATGTAAATAAGGTACATAATACCTCATCTCAGAAATACAGACAGATGTCATAGTGTTCACAATAAATAGGTGATTCCAATGATTCTGTAACGTAAAGCATTGCAAAGCAATTGCCAGATTATGTTACGTTTGTAACTCTTGTAATTCTCAATAAAGTTTTATTAAAGTCAAATTACCCGGGAACTTATTTACGAATTGGTAGTTTAGTTAAAGCCCTTTATCGAGGTGAACAGACGCTTTTTTGAAGAAGAGGGAGCTTATTTGGGGGGCAAAAATCTATCAAAATAATGCGTCAAAATAATATACAAATATCACAAATGGATTAAAATAAAAGTCGTCATAAATACAGAGAAACAACATGTGACAAACACTTCGATTAATTGATTGATTGTTTTTTTGTTTTTTTTTTTTGTTTTTTGTTTAACGGAATATCAAATACTCATTGGTCATTGAATGCCGAAATCTAATTTTCTTTGAAGTAATAAAAATATGATATATGTTATTCTGCTTTCCTATTGTATATATGGTAGGTGATACTCAGCTTTTCTACATTTACAGATTTAGACGTGGACATAATTGTTAGAGGCGGTGATATGTGTATTTTATGCTGTAGTTTTGTTGAAGTTATATTTTGGAATATTTTAAGTTAAGAAATAGCCGGACATTATATGGATTAATGTCATGAATTTGTCATGTTGGTTGGTTGATTTCGTTTCGCTCTATATCGATCTATATCGATCTCTATGAGTTATTTAATGCTGAAATATGAATATTTTGAACAATTAAAGGCTTCAACTAAATATATTTTGGCCTAAATTAAATGCCTTCAACTACAGATAAAATGTATTGTTGGACATTTTTCTATAGAATATAGCAATATATTTCTGAAAATAAAAATAAAAAATATTAGCCAACATACATTTGTAAAAATAAAAAAAATTATTACCAGCACTCAATTTAAAAAAATATAATACCAGCAATAGACTTTTGGGAAAAAATATTACCGGCAATACATTTGACTCGACAAAAACCCTTTTTACAAAAATACTTCAACGAAACCTGATCTAATGATTTCTAACAAAGAATACATCTTCTATTCATACAAATTATGCCGGCATTAAATAACTCATTTGAGGTTGATATGTCTTAAATTAAAATTAACCGAACAAGACCAATCAAAATAAATAAAAATATCACCAAGACCTAAAAAAAATCAAAATGTCACAAACAATTGAAAATAAAAGCAAAATGTTATATTTGCTTCAAATAAAATAAATATTTTGTATACATTTCAAGATGAAGCGTAATATCAGTCAGTCAGTTATATGCCATGCGTGATACACGTTTAGCCGATCATGTATCTTTCGATACATGACTGACGAGGCAGATTTTTTCCCCGCAGTAGACCAGTTGCCATCCAAGGTTATAGAACCTTGTCTGTCCTACTATTTACCCATAGCTGGAGGGGGAGATAAAGAGGATTCATATCCTTCCCAAGGGTATTAGCAGATAAGTGAATACAATGTATTTGACTGGAATTCGAACTCTGCTCTCCGATTCCTCAATCCA